GCCGCCACCACCTCCATTGCCTTATTTACATCATTCAGGCTCAAGGACAGCACCTCGCATACTCCTTCCCCCTCTTGTTCCTCCCGGAGTCTCCGCCGCGCGTACTCCGACTCCTCAAAGGTAAAGGAGTCGAGGTTGAGCCTATTCCTTGCACTTCCGGGCCCTGTGTTCCGGCACTTGATGATTTCATAGTTTCCCGGATCAGATAGGGTCAGGATCATCGTCCCCTCATGCCTGTTGAAGACCAAGGTTTCCGTCCGGCAGAGGAACGACCTCCCCAGAAGAATAGGGTGGTCGACGTCGGGCATGACGAAGAAGCACGTTCGCGCCCTTACTCTCCCAATCTCCWCCATCACATTAGACGGGGTGCCGCAAAAAATGGCCTTACAATTGGCGCCATGCAACACGCCATGGTCCGAATGGTCGACCTCCAACCCCAACATGGTCGCGTCCCGCTCCCGGATGCTGTTCATCTCCGCGCCCGTGTCCACCATTGCGATGCTCGGCTGGTCCCTCACCTTCAAGTCCACCAACCCACATGCCACACATTTCCAATCCATCCTGGTGCCTGCCTCTGTCCACTCCATCTCCCTCGGCAGAATTGAGCTCAGGTGGACATTGGGCACTAATCTTCGCGAGAGCCGCCCTTTTAGCTCACCACGGAGCCTTGGTGCCGAGGCCAAAATGTCCTTTAGATTCATCAAATCGTTATGGCCTTCCAGGAGCTTGTCCACCATTCGCTCCACGTCAAAGCCTTCCTCCAGTCGGACTGCGTACTTTTTCCTCTTTGGCACGCCATCATGCAGGCTCAGCTCTGCCCCTCCCTGAGCCCCTCTTTTTGGCCCTCTGTTCCGCCCTYCGGTCCTCCTCCTGCCGGAGCCTCTCGTCCTCTTCGTCATCAGCCTCATCTTCCTCTTCTTGAACCTCTACCACTTCCTTCCTTCATTCGGGTTCAGGGTCCTTTCGAGGGGGCGCCTGACTAGGTGCCTGGCTAGGCCCCTGACTGGTGGTAGCCTTACTTTGGCCCCTAGTCTGCACGGCCTGTGGTACCCTTTCATGCGACGTAGGGGGTCTGAAGGTCATCCCTGACCTAGGACCTGTCCCATCCGTAGCCACACTTGGACACCCTTGCGGTCCTGACGATGACTCCGGGCCGGACCCATAGRGCATTACCTCAGGAAGGTTCAGTTCCCATTCCCGGGCCTTTTCACACATGGCCCTTAATCGATCCTGATACCTGCCGACCTTTGCAAGCAGGTCCTCCGTCCTCTCCAGGATGGTCGAGGCTGGCTCTCTCACCACTTCCTGCGCCTCATCGTCAGACTCCACAACTATGGGCTCCTCCTTTATAGTCCCCGCCTTCAACCGCTGAGTTACTTCCTCATTTTCATCCACAATCTCATCGACTCTTACGCCGGGGTCTTGCCTTTCCTGCTATATCCTAAGCATTGCTGGGGCTGCTGGAGGCCCGRCCGCTGCCCGCCAGAGGGCTTCCTGCCTGATTCCTCCCGGGGTCTTGGGGTCAATGTGCGTTCCCCACCGATCGTCTATATCCCTGTCCATACAGGTGGAGATTAATCGTGCCTTTTCGTCGTCCCGCCGCTGTTGGCAGAATCGTACGGTGTAGCCCACCTCGCCACAGTGTCAACAAGTTGCGTTCCGCCAGTCGAAGCGGGGTCTCCCGTACCCTTGGCCCCCTCCCTGGCCGCCTTGCCCACCTTGGTCCTGACCCCCTTGACCATTCCAGCCTCCTCCACGGTCTCCACCATTTCCTCCTCGCCCCCGGCCGCCCCCTCCTCTACCTCCTTGGCCCCGGCCCCCATTGCCCTGCCCGCCTTGTCCTAGGCCTCCTCCCCCGGCCACACTGGCTTGCGAGGCCTGCTGGGAGGGCGGCGGTTGAGCCATAGGCTGGCTTTAAGTCGCCGGGTAGCTCGGGGGGCCCATACTTGCGGATGGGCCTGAATAGGGGACCATGTGCYCCGCATGGGCCTGACTCCCTCCACACGAGACACAGTGGTTGCAACTGGGCCAGGGCGCGGACTGACAATGCGCCACCCACTGCCCGCAGGTTGGTGGCGGCCCCATATGCGTTGGTCCTGCCGACGCTGGCGCGGCCGCGGTGACAGGCGGTCGTAAGGCAATGGCTTTGGGAGCCTGTCCCTTCCCTGACCCCTGCCCTCCTTGCAGCAGATTGCGCTGCTTCCTCTGGGGCTTAGTCAGGGCTTGGGAACCTGTCTCCCCTCCTCCGTAGTCTTCGCGCCCTGCCTCCTCATCTCCTACTCCTGACGTCCGGCCTTGGGCCACTGCCACCACTCTTTTTGTAGTTCTGCTTCGCTATCATACCCCAGTGCCGCCAACACGTCCGTGACTATTCTCTTCACCCTTGGGGTCCCGGATGCAGTAGCATCCCTCTCCTTCCTCTTGCGCCTTTGCAGCCTCATTTGGTGCTGCTCCACCTGGTCCAGGCTCCCTTCTTCCACTCCCTTGTCAATGGTTGCCCAGGTGAGCCTCTCGTTTCCTTCCCCATACTTCGTCAACTYTGTGGCCTCCGAGCCTGTAAGCAGCCCCAAAAAATGTGGCGCACTGCGCCTCCTAAAAAATCCCGTGCACTTTCCTCGCCCTTTTCTTGAACTCGTGCACAAATGCCCCAATGGTAAAGAAGTCTTCTTTGTTCATGGCCTCCAAGTCGGCCATGGTCAGCAGGCCGTCCCCCAGCCTATACTTCCTTCGCATTAGGTCTCCAAACCTTGCCCTACTGCCACCGGCGGCGTCCACAACCTTAGTTACTTCCCCATGGTGACTGTGCAGGACRTACCTCAGGCCCCGTTGGAGCTTGACCTCATCTGACAGTCCCACCAGCGCCTGCTCCGTCAGATCCAACCAATCAGATACCCGGTCCCGCTTGAAGTGGAATGTCTCGACCTTTGGGACGTTGCTTGGCGCCCTCTCACGCTTGTCCAGGACGTCGATGAGGTCATCGAGAGTCAGAAGCTTCCTCCCACCGTCCGCCATCTCCTCTGGCATTTTGGCCAACCGCCTTCAGCTTCAATCTCCCTGTTATAAGAGACGATAGGACAGAGGACCCCACTCAGCTACTCACCCTTTCATGATCTTATCRGGTTGACCACCTTAGACACCCCACACTCTAGATCTGGAAGGCATTTTTTCTCCCACTCCCCTTGGCTCACCTAGATAACGCTTATCCTTACCATAGAACTTCCTCATCCACATACATCACTCAGCTGTCAACCAAGCCGCTAATCAATCAATCATTCATCCCCCAATCATATAGATCACCATACAGTCCGTCTCATAATCCCTCTTTTTCTCACTCATATGCCTAGTCTTCCCTCACTCTCGTACCCGGATGTCGTTCCACCAAGGACAACAGTAGGCTTCCGTTATCGCCGGCAACGACGTCACCTATCAGGCGCATCGGTCCGGCACCGCGCGCGGYAGCGCGSGACCCTCTCGGCCGCGTCACGCAGGAGTTGGACCAMCCTCGTCGCGAACACACAAAAGGAGCTTCCTTAGGCCGCTCCGGCCGAGTGCGCCAGCCATACCTCTCGCGAGCCCCTACGACAGGATAGGGCCTACGCGAGGCACAACTTACCTCCACCTTACGKGAGCTGTCACCTCCCTTCGGTGGGCATATCCCCGCCGAGCTACCAGTCCACAATACGAAAGCTACTCGGTTGCAATCGCAGAGGTGGACCAGCCGAGGGCGTTTCTCGTTCTCTGTAGCATAGGGGGTACACGCGGTAATACGCCTATCGGACGCGCACGCGAACCGACATCTTGGGGGGTGGAAGTCCCAAGCGCGACTCGTCGTCGGTCGACTAGGACGCATCCCACACGCCACGCGCACACCACAACCACACGACAACAACACGCATACATACACACGGAACGACACAACGCAAACAACGTGGCAATGCTCCTATCCCCTCGGTAGCCAACCCATAACTTCCCGACGCGGAAATAGGATAGGCGTTGCGCGCGAGACTTAGTATAAAAATCGCGCGGACGCAGGGCTAACTCATATCGACTCGTGATGCAAGCGCACGCAAGTGGTCTGAACGATGGCGTACCACGTGGTACCCATACTCGTGCGGTCCTCGTTAATCTCGAGGGTCGCGTTCTACACTCTAGTGTCGGCTGACACGCGCCTTGAGGGTTAATCTTTCGACGTTGGACAACCGCCATKCGCGGTTGAGGACCACACACCCTCTTCTGCACCCTTATGCAGAGTGGGTGGTACACAGGCCCATGCCTGTGGTGCTAGTCGTCTCTCGCGGCGCTAGGGGTGAGTCCTCCCCAGGGCCTGGGCGAAAGTTAAGGGGTTTGACTTTGACGGCTGCCACTGACTACAACGTCCAACTATAAAAATCTCTAAGAAGCAACAAGACTCGCATGAACCCAAGAAGAGGGGATAGGGCAAAGGTCTCCTGGCCCTTAAAACAAAAACTCATGGCCTTGGGACACACTTCGCCTCCATGGGCGGTGCYGGCGGCCTATAATAATCCTAAGCGYTGCGCCTACGCGCAAGCCCGRCGGTCCCATAACTTTTAGACGTCGGGGGCGGYGAGGCTTCGCGCGCAAGGCTCTGATATAAAACTGCGCGGCCGCTGGCCAACCCTATGCCAACCATCGATACCAATCATATGTGGTAACCGTGGCTTAGGCCTCGCGATATTGAGTGGCTGAAGGAACTCATTGCGAGGGGTTACCCCTCACGATATTGAACGGCTGAAGGACACGCCGTTCGGCCCTCGCGACGTTCCCGCCTTTCAGGTGGAGTGCGCCGCCGGCCAAAGTAAATAGGCTCCATGCAAGGGGAGGCCCCTCCTCTTCAAGGCCTAGGGCTTGGGGTGTCCTGGACAAGGACCTCGAATCCCGGCCCAGGACCAACGTCCGACTAAGAAAGCCCCAAGACGCAAAATAGGCAGAGGGAAGGGTCTTCCCTGTCTCTCAATCCCAACTCTCACGCGGTTGTTAACATGGCCTCTTAGGCCCCCTGAACACTCATCATTCATATCTCCACGCATACATGCGGAAGGGGGATAGAGTTATGACGATCACTTCTCACAGGCACAGTGAGACTCTTCACAACCATGTATGTGTATATGGAATCGCAGGCAGTCCAAATCCAAAATCTGAGTCACATGACATACATGCAACCACATCAAGAATCAAGCAACAAAACACGCACTACAAAGAGTCAACCCCAACCGTTCTCTATGCTCATACCCCTTCGCTTTAGCCATGCAATCCCCAACTGCCAGTCCAACCAACCTCAATTAAATACTCAGTACCCTTTGTTAAATGACCATTCAATAAAAGTCCGGGTGAAACCCTTAACAAACAGTAAAAACCACCAGGGCTAAAGCCTTTTAGGTTGAGTATGGGGAATGGATTGAAATTGAGTCGAAGACTGACGAATCGGCAACCGACCTGTTATCAGTGATAACAGAAGACGATACTCCAGGGATCAAGCTGAATCTAGTCTTGATCTTGAATCGAACGATCAAGACGAACTGTAACACATGACAGACCAATTCCGAAGCTGAGATCATGAGCTCATGGAGAATACAACTCCATAACATATTCTCACTCAAATCCTCCTAGCTAGCTAAGCYTGAATCTACCTCGAGGCGGTGCCCAAAGCAAAGGCTGACCCTGGTTGAATCTCCCCTATTCAGGGTAGATCGTCAGAATCGTCATCTGTCAAAATATAATCTAGCTCCTCTGAATCAAGAAAATTTCGRCAGCGCTTCCCGTAGGAAAAGTGTCTGTCCAAAGTTTATATCAACCCAAATATGAAAACAGAAAAAATCTCCAACTCTGGAAAGCCAAATTCTATCTAACTGCCTGAATAAGTAGAAATTTGGACAGCAGTCCCTTTAGAAAGGGAGATTTCCCWGATTTATACTAGGTCAGATATGAACTCACAAGGCAACTTGAGTTCAACTTAAACAAGTTTTGACTAACTCCTTAGTATTGCAGAAATTTCGGCAGCACTCCCCCTAGAAAAGTACTTTCCCAAAATTCATACAAAGCCAAGCTTAGAACCCGAGACTAACTCTGACATCCCAAARCCCAATTTTGTCTGACTCCCTGAATTAGGAAAAATTTGGGCAGCATTCCCTTTAGAAAAGGAGGYTTTCCAAATTTTTACTAAGTCAGATATGACAAAAGGACGAGCTAAACTTTGGCAAGTCAAAATTTATCTAACTCCTTGAATCTGTAGAAATTTCAGCAACGCTTCCCGTAGGAAAAKTAGCTTACCAGAATTTATACAGGTCCAAGTATAGTAACAAGCCTCAAGAAATGCAAAAATCGGTCTAAGTAAAATAAAGTCAGC